GAATTCAATGATGAGGCTTCTCTGTACAATTTATTCCTATCTCTCCCCATCGGCATAAGCTCACCGAACAGAAGGATCTTCCCCAATCTCATGGAAGAATCTAAGCCGATCAAAGCATCGAGTGGGCTCTAGCCGTGACGTGAGCGTGACCGATTCTCGGGCGGATTATCGGGATGACCCCTCAGTCGCTCCTGTCGTTCTTTCCTCTTCGATGGTGTAGAGTTTTCCGAGAAGTCTTGGGGCTGTTTTTAGAAGAAGGTCACATGTGCTTACGGAAAGGGATCTGGTCATCGACGTCACGAGGGGAGAAGTCCCATTGAGGGAGAGCATGGCTCCGAAGCAAACCTGCAGCTAAGTTTGGGTTTAGTTCCACCGGAGACTCCTGATCGAGAAAGCGTCCCTGCCGGACTTCCCAAATCCGCGTTGCGCTCACTCAGTCGGACCAGTGACTCGTCGAAGAGCCCTTGTCTAATTCTGCGGATTCGCGGCGCGGATCATTGTCGTGGAGGAGTCTCCAGAGTTTCCCCGAACTAATCTCGAAGATCAACGATCTATATTGCAGCTGCCATGAACGCTTCTCAAGCAGCGTTATTCGGAAGCCACCTGGCGCAACAAGGTCTGCTAGGAGGTCTGGGGGTCGGAATGCCAATGGGGAGTCCTGCAGCGTTTTTCCCCGCCGGGATCGATATTGCAGCTCTACAACTGAGGCAGTACAACCTCCAGCAGCTGCAACAGGGCTTCAATCCCGCGCAGTCTCCTCTGCTTAGCCCGTTTTTTGCTTCGAGGTAAATGGAATGCACGGGAGACAATTTTAGCGCTCGATATTCGACGCGACATCGCTGCGTGTAGGAAGCGTGTGGATAAATTATTACAGATATATCCGTTGGGCGAATGCGATGCTGGAATATCATGACCATTCCACCGGGATTGATAGGAGGGGAATCGGATGCAAATCTGACAACCCTCATTTTTTTTCAGATTCTTCGCCCCGACTTCGCCTTCACCGCCATCTGCGACGCCTCTGAAAATTAAAAAAGAAGATTCCGGAGGAGCCTTCCAGCCTGTCGTTATCCAGCACGATGACACACCATCGCCAAAGGTAGGTCGCAAAGTACCGTGCATATGCCCAAGTCCATGCGTAGTGCTACCCCGGGCGATCGTCACGAGCCGGACTTTATGTTTGCAAGGTCTTCATGTGTCCTCCTTATAGTTTGCACGAATGGATTATCTCTCCGCAAGCGCGAGTTCCGGACTTCCGGCGACTCCGTCGACCTTATCGAGTCCTGGATCGGATTCGTTTGCGGCTGCTCATCGGAGTCACCACAAGCTGAGTCAAGCGTCCTCGGGTTCTGATAGGTCAGATTTTTTACTCACTCGTGAATAATTTTGAGCATGCGGTGTCTCCGGGGGGAGAAACCATCGGCGTTGCGCCGGTGGCCCAAGGCTGCATTAGCCTCCTCCTGCTGCTATCGATCAGGCTTGGTGAAAAGAAAAACAGAAATCTCGTGAGAGGGTCGAGAGACGTCCCAAATTGTGGAAGTTGAGAATAAAAAGTTGCGATCGACGGGCTCCTTGTCTCCAAAACAGATAAGAAAACTTCTCTCTACCCTCACTCGCGGAAGTTACGATTCTAAAATTCTGACGAAAACCAGCTAGCTCCCCTCGGCATGCCTGAATGATCCCTACAGATTCGACTCTCGTTTTCCGGGAGAACTACCCAATTTGGATTTGTCAGCGAATTGTTCATGTGTCATACTCTGTCTTGCAGTATTTGTGGAAGCTCGATGCTGCTGAAGGGTGAATCATCGTCCCAATCGACCCCTGGTTTGGCTCATTTCAAGAAAGGATCGGTGAGTGTGCTCCTGAGTTTCGGAAGCTACCGACGATCGTATCTCACTGGATACGGGCTCTTCTGAGTGGAAGCAGCCTTGTTGCTTCATGAGTTTCCCTGACGAATTGTCAGCCACGAGTCTGTACCTCATGTAACTGTCCTCCGTGACGAGCCACGTGGGAGCTGCGAACTCCATGCAACACGTGACTCGTCAATCGAAGGAACTGGTTCGGAAACTTTATGTAATGGATTTCGCAAGCTAATGTCGATGTCGTCACGTCGAGTGGTTCTGATTGAGGATAAACTCACAGTTTTAATCGACCGCTGCTTGATAGGTGATTCGACTCGGCGATGGGAATCTTCGCACAGTAGAGCAAGTTACGACCGATGATTTGATCAAGAGCGCCGAAGCCACACCGGGTGTTCGACTCGACTCCTCGAAAATACTGCGAATGGAAGCTGCCAGTCAGGCGCATGCGGTGCTAATTACGTTTGCGGTGACCTCTAGCAAACAAGAAGTAAGTCATCGGATTATTGATATAGGAGGGTGCATACGGACTCGTTCTCGATGGTCGCGAAAACGATCCTCACGTTCTCAAGACCCCCGGTACTCGACGTCTCGATTGCTCCCATAATCTCGATTTTATTGAAGGTTTCCGTCGAGACGCCTGTGGACCGACCTTTCTTTGTGTTCAACCGCGGTTGGAGTTCCTGCGATCCCTCGAAAACCCTTCAGAAGCTCGGACTGCAGTGTCATAAACTGCAGCCGGGCGACGTATGCGTCACCCTTAGCAACGTGAGTTTTTTTTCGCTACATTCCATCCGAGACTCGCCGCAGTTGGATTCTTCCAGGGGATATGACGTGCTTCGGGAATGAGAAATCCCATCCAATTCAATCTCTATCGATTAACAGGCTCGCTCAACGCATGCCGAGGAAGACTCAGTGAATGATCTCAGGAGGTACCCCTCAGCCGTTCGTAGCAATCGTAGATGGTCGGCTCCAGATCCTCCCACGAACGCGTCGCTAGCGGAGAACTAGGACGAGGCAAGAAATCCCGCCAAATTATCGCATATCACCTTAACGAGATACTTAATCCTACTCTAGATAGTTCAGTTGTGTTATGGCGAAATTCGCGAGAATCCCAGTTTGCATAGGCTGCAACGGCGGCGGATCCGTAATCTCCATGAGCCGCGATATCCCAACTCTAATCAAAAGTATTCTCAAGACTGGTGGAAAGCATTGTGCAAAGTGCCATTCGGGGTGTCGTTCAGACTACAGAACGATTGTGTGTTGTCCTGTTCTTCGACGATGTATTAGAACTCAAGTGTTTCGGAGTTTGTATTTACCGACTACTTAAAAGTCAGAACGAAGCGGGACAGGGTGAAAAATTTGTTCTGAAGAGGAGCTATTTTTCTGATTCCACGGAAGTTTTCCCTAAATGAGGAAAGGAAGGAAACAATACCTACATGGTTGTAACTATGTGGTCTCGCATTAGGCACTCCAGATGCGGTATGTTGAGAAGCTCGATTTTTTGTAAACTCGTTGAAATGAAGCCCATGATCGTGTTGATATATAATCCCCATTGTTGTGATGATGACTATTGTTCGTATTGACTCGATTGAATGAGGACCATGCAAGTATATTTTGAACGACGTTGAATAAGCATGAAATAGATTCGAATGATGATGATATTTTTTATCAGATATACATACATACAATCGATACACACCTGCTGATATCATAGCTTCATAATTACGGACGAATATGCATACGTTCAATCATTCATACCTGATTGTGGAACTCCGTTGTGAAGATCTCATGAATTCTGATTATCGAGCCATATAAAATCATTGCAATCGGACGAGAAGTGTTTTTTCCTCTTTATACCCGACGCTTAGAACCACGGATTTATTTGACCGATTCATTGCCACTGAAGGTTTCTGTTTCCCTTGCGGTTGAAATCGGTTGCCGATTCGCGTTTCATTCCATTGAACTTTGATAGGTTCTGATATCGAAGTTGGAGGAAGGCAACGATGATATTGCCCGGTCGATGGCACATTAAACGATCTCTTCATTGACTCATTCAGTGTCGAGTCGTCTTTTTGACTAGCCAAGCCATATTATTGTCCTACACTCTACCGCTATAGCAATCTTCGGAAAAGACTGGCGATTGAAGGAGTTGTGCTCTTGGATACGAGGTCATTGATGGTGAGCTCAAGATGTTAGTCCAGTACGAATTGCCGATCGTCGGGGCTTGGAGAAGGATAGACGGGAAAAAATTTAGCCGACTTCAGCGTGAAGTGCACAGGCCTGCCGCACTGACTGGGACGGTGGCCTTCCGGTGGCCATTAATTTGCCGTTTTAGTCTGGCTCATTGCGAAGCCAGAGCGATGATTTCCCGGTCCCTAATCCGCCCGCGTTTTGACTGCGCCCCACCGAAAGGAAAGTATCCCGAATCCCGAGGCTCAAACTGTGATCGGTTCCAGAAGAATGCTCTACTACGAAGTGGACGCAGCGCTTCCACAATCGAGCTTTATGGGTCCCCGAAAACAGTGGCGTATATCCTGCCGAGTCGCTCCAGAGTGGGGGCTCCGCTAAGTTCTCGGCATTTTTTTTGGAGCACCGTCCTAGCGATTGGCGGGCCCTACTCCGAAACTCCGGGAGGACTAACAAGCACTCATTGGAAATGTGTCAATTATGATGTAGAATGGAGACGCCGTGATTTATCTTTTCTTCTCGCTTTGCTTCAACCAGGATCGACAGATCCCTGGCCGTCAACAACGAGAAAAAGTGAGTCCAGCAGGGAGCTGCCCGATTTTGTTAAGAGGCGAAAGCTCACAAAACTGCCTCTTATAGAAACGACAAGCTCGACTTGCTGATTTCTATATAAAATGTACAAATATATTAAAATTCACAAGTCATGGGTGTTTTGTGAGCTTGTTAACAGTAGCGGCCCCACTGGCTGGAACATGAAACATGAACAGCATGATTTGACATACCAGGAGTCGGAAGCGTCCGGGAAACGATTGAGAGTTCCTTCGCGCTATGCGATTCTACTTTTCCGAGCAGCAGATTCCGCTTGCGACATGAGATCGGCGTCACAGAGCGCCCCCTCTCGTGCTCACGGGAGGAATAATTATTTCCTAAGATAGAGCTGATTCGATGTCAAGACGTGTTGTGGCTCTCCTTTCGATTGCGGTGTCTCTGGATCGCTGTCCAGACGCGAATCTCGTAGCCCAACCTGTGGAGAAGGATTATGTTGAGGACAAAACCTCTGAGCGTCCGGCTCCGATTTTCCGTATCCGGGCCGAATCAGCGGGAACTCACTTGAGTCCCAGGCGTTTGAGATCCTCTCGGTCGACAAGCTGAAGGACGTCCTTCAGCGAGAAGCGCTCTTGAACAAATCGCCCCACGCTCGCCTCGTCCACTCCAATGTTCCTTAACCAGCGCACCATTTCCGGATCCCCATCCTGTTTGTCTGAGACTTTCGACGTCGATGAGCTTCCGTCCGTAGCCATACGAACCAAATCACAGCACCGCATTCCCTGCTCCATCAGAGCTTTCACGAAGCTGCCGAGGAGGGATAATGTACAACGTTTATTATTATCATTGGATGTCAATTATTATCATTGTGTATATTATTGTGTATTGTGTTTCAAAGCGACCATAATTATCGACGCTTCAGGTCCTCCCTCCGAATCACTCGTGAGAAATCGATTATTCGATCCCCCTAAGGCTGCGTCGGAATGAATAATGGGAAGAGGGCGTGGAACGCGCACTAGTTCGTCTGATGACGATTGGGAGGAGATCGACGGATATACTCACTTCGCTGTGTGTTCTTCACTCGAGGACAGTCTTCGGGACCGGTCCAAGACTCGACCTAGAAGGTCTCCGTTCACATGCGACAGATCTTCCTGGTTCTGAGCGGAGCGGATCAGAGCCCTCGTCGAGACCCCGCTCGTTACACTCGCCGTTCGGTCGTCGTCTCTTTCGATGATGTGTCCGATGATGTTTGCGGCTCTTTCCGGAGAAAGAATTGAAATCGCGGCTTGACAGCAGTGTTCAACGAGACCGACCAGAGCGAAAATACAATGGGGCTTGATATTCCGTCGTTTGAGAGCTTCCACAACCTAGAATCGCGAGCTTCGTCAGTACGGTGGAAGCGACGGAAAACTCGTCGTCCTCGATGAGTTTCCGGGCAGTGTTTTGTGTTATCGAAATCATGGAGAATCTCGACCGCAATTTTACATATCGTGCAAGCTTCGAATCGGAGGAGAAGGGAGAAACCGGAGGGAAACCGGAAGCGACTGTTGCTGAGGCGTATCTGCTGTTAGAAATGACGTCGATGACGTCATCACAGATCAAGTCACTCAGAGAGCCAATCGGTATGATTGACCGGCCGGCCGATTCACTGACTGATGGACAGTTTGAACGAATAAGCAAGAGATTGATGTAGTACATGATTTCCACCAAACGTGCGTCGAGACTGCTACGATAATCTTTGGGACATTCGATATTCTCGCGTCTGTAACTCGGCTGTCAACAACTGATCGAGAAGAGCGTCCGTTGATGCGGTCGCCCACAGGATTATCGTGTATTCGAGTATCCCCAGATTAGAGTGGCCGCCGCGTCATTTCTCTATCCGGTGGCTCTGTGTTGTCCCCTTTCATCGAAGGGGAATGTCGATTGGTTTCCTCGGCGAACATCTCCGGACATCGGGACGAGATTCGCGAACAACGGACCGGAGGTAGACGATACGTTCTCCCTACACGCAGCCGATCCTGGCTGAACATGGAACGGCGTAAGAGTTCTGCTGTTGGATTATGATCATCCAATGAGAGTGCTATGACGCAATCAATCCCTTGATGCCATGGAAGCTTCTCTGATCCTACTTAGCTGAGGAGCTTACGCGAGCATCGATCAGCCGACTCTCCGAGCTACATCATTCGATCGGAATTCATCTACATATTCATCGGTCCCTCAATTCATCATTTTGAGCAATTTACACGACTAAGGACTTCACAGACGTTCGAATTTTCCTCTTTCACTGGAGAGCTCGCCCACAACGCTCACGAAATCGATCGCGTGATCTCTCACTGTGGGTCTCGCTTAGAAGGCTTTCCGGTTGTCTGTGCTCACGTCACACGGTGAATGGACGGTAGTTTCGGCGTAAACTATCATTGTTTGTCGACGTTTCCGCTGTTGTCATAGTATTACGTAAGCCCAGATGGCGTGTTCGAGTAAATAATTGATCTTACCGAATATTGAAACACGAATAGCGCGGTCTGCAGCTGATTGAGAGCGTTGGCGCCGAAGTCCAGGGAATCTTTCAGCTGTGCCAACACTTTCGACAGTTGGTCGTTGTTCTGTTCGGAAAGTAATAGGATCATTCCACTCAAGAGTTCCGCGAGATGCCTTTCGTTGATCAGGAGGACGGACGAGCCAATGCGTCCTCGAATTTGGCCCATCCAGATTTCCAGGATCTGAGAGGAGGGTAATCAGTCGTCTTCAACAGCATTCTTCCGATAAGACAAGGGAGTATCCTAATATGCTAACAACTCCACCGAGCAGGTCCCTGCATTTCATGCGATAGAGGTCGCGTTAATCGGTCAAAACACCACTTCCAGAGGAAATTCCTCCTCAATACGTTGCCGACCGTATCGTGTCGCAACGCAGGGGCACCCTTGGCTCCAGGAAGAGCGCCATCGGGAGTTTTCAGACCCTCCGTCAAGGGAGAAACGCAGCGAACAATCCAGGCACTGCGGGGGCGGCTCTTCGCGAGCTACTCCTTCACAGAAACGCATACACGCTCGAGAGAACCGTCTGCCCAGAATTTGTCCAGTTTCGAACCCAAATTCCAAACGTTCCGACTCGATAGACACTTCCCTTCTAGAGATTTACGTGGGAAACCGTTATGTGATGTCGTCAATACGGGCACTAGCTTCTGGCTTGGGAGCTCTCATTCGACATTTCTCAAAAATCATGAGGGTCGGCGACGATTGGAAATGTCGTCGAGTGATTTGGATGAATTCTTTTGCAATATTGAACAGGGGTGTCCAATACGTGACACGTGACTCCGGCCCCTGATGGCCTGTATTCAATGTTCTCTCTGAGACTATTCCTCGGGAATCCCGTTCTAGATTGTATTCCATAGAGCAGAGAATAAAGGGATTGAGTTCCGTTCAGAGGACACTCACCTGTCCTCCATCGTCCTGAAGAATCTTCACAATTGTTTTTCTTCGCCGGGAACCCTCCTTGGGCATATAGAACTCTCGACCATCCTCCGGGCCGTTCTTCGGGTCCCCATCCTTTGGCTTTGGAGTACCGATGACAGCCGAGCTGATTACGAGCGGGGTCGCAAGGTTGGTCATTGAATCAGTGAGCTCTCGATCCCCATAAAGAGAGTCCATATCGAAGTCGCCGTAAGCAGACCAAGCACCCGGCTCATCGTTACAGTCCCAGCACTGCACCCGCATCAGGGACCATCGCAGCTCTCGGGGACCCGGACCGGAAGGATCGCGGTTCTCGAGCCCCGCTACGATCGATCCGAGAGGACCCGACTTGAACATGCTTGGGATTTCTTCCGTTCCGCTCTAATCTGCAGCCCTGCACTTGAGCTCCAGGATCGCTCTCGAGGTATTCACGTCACAGGGGCTCGTCACGTTCGGAGGCAGGCTCATACAGGAGGCGAGCTTCTTTCATGGAAACTGAGCATACGGGGAGAACGCGATTTTTGTGCGGGCGACTCAGCGTGCTGCTGTTTCGGCGAGGGTCCCCGCAGCCGTTGCCAGCTGAGGAGCCGTGTTTTACCATTCAGATTTTGTTTCCATTCAGCGCCCGCTGCTCCTACCACTGTCTAGCCTCATTGACTGCGGGAGTCTTCAGCTCTCCCTGGATAATGATTATTGCCTCGCGTAACTCGCGCACAAAGTCGATCGGGGGAACAAAGTAATGGGAAGATCGGCGTGCACGAAACTCGATCTCGATAATCGTTCTTCACGGTCTTACTTTGTACCCGGTGCAATCGAGTTCTAGTCGATGGTGAAACCCATGAGCAGCGACTGAGGAGTTTAGGGATCGATATCTGGACTTTACCACAGAGATGAATCCAGTATTGAAAGTTGGAGAGTCAAGGCAGGAGCGTCGCAGTTATTTCGCGGTAGGTCCGACGGACAGAAACCACGATTTTGCCACAATAGCCACTACCTCCTTGCGGGTCGGAGCGAGAACATCGGCGATGGTTGTGTGCGCTGTTGCAGCAGAGGGTCAAGAGCGTGCCTCTGTAAGGGAGCTACGGCGCGCGAGGACTGCACGGCCCTCCACCGGCATCTGGCGATGAGTGACGTCAGATTGCGTCACTCTTCGGGAACAGCGGAGAGGCTTCGGGGAAGTGGGAGCAAACCGGGACAGAACGTCTAATGCGCCAGCAGCACCGCTCGTTGTCGATTCCGTGTGAAGAAGCGGCGACGACCCGCGAAGAATGAGTAACAGACTTTCAATCTGGCAGCGATTGAATCTATAGATCGAATCTCCTCGAGTGTGATGGCGAATCTCAACTTACTTCGGAAGTTGAGATTCGCCAGAAAAGATAATGTGTTGGAAGTGAAAGGGGGCTGCCCGGGGCATGGGGTCGATATTGGATGGATGGATGGTTTATTAACCCTCTCTGATTATTTATACATATCTCAATCTCAGTATAAATCTGATGACCCTGGTGCAGGGGCGATGTCTCTAGCAGGTCGATTCATGTGATATCCTTCTTCGGTTCCGGTGGTAGTCCCCCTCCGCTCCCACTCTCCTCTAGTAGCTCTTTAGTCCTGGTGATCATCCTCGGTGTGCTATCTTTCTGTAGCCTTAGTTATCTTCGCACGGTGAAGTCGGCCTCCGGCGGGCTGTCACATTCCAATATCACATGATCCAGAGTTCCCTATGCCTTGCCACATCTTTGGACGGTCGGATCGATGTTCTTGAAGCGTGACCCATATTTCCTGGTCTGCAAGCATCGTGCTCTCGCGTCCGCAAGGAGGCGACTGCCCTGCGTGTTATCGTATAGGTGCCCGATAGTGCCCCTCCCCCTATTTGGAACTCTTGTGTTAGATCTAATCGTAGGCTCCCAGGGGAATCAACGACTCAAAATTCCTCCGACCGCAGCCCGATTTGTATCTGACCCTCCGACACCGCGAGGTCCTCGCTTCTGACTGACTCTCTCGGCACGCTCTCGGCACGCCCGAGAGCGTCATGCTCTGGTCATCGACATCATGCATTGTTACCAGCTACTATTGATTCGCATGGTGTCTTTCGACGGTATGAGACTCTGTCCTAACATTCGGATCTGTCCTAACATTCGGATCCGTCTAAACATTCGAATCCGTCCTAACGTTCGGATCTGTCTCGACACTTGTATGTGTCTAAGGTGGTTTGACCTGAAATTCCGTCTAGCTAATCTGAGTCTAGTTTGGCTCGTACCGATTCTTCTACATATTTCTTGTTGGCCGCCCGGCTTATCCGCCTATTCCTGGTCGGCAATCGCCAGGGCTCCTGACAGTTGAATTTATCTCTTGGCTCAAATCTCCTATCCGGGAGTTTGGTTTGCACATTGGTAATTTTGAGCATCGTCAAGATCGCCCTTGGCCCTCTGGTCTCGCTCATCTCGCCTATTCTGGCGAGATACGTAATTTTGCTTGTTTGCAGTTTTTTGATGCACCAGGATACGAGTTTTTCACCCGTCTGCTGGCTGCCTTGTTTCTCCAGGCAATCGTTGTTGAATAAGAGCTCAAAGATAAATTCAAAATAAGTTCCTCGAAGATCGAGGATTGAAACCTTATCAGGCTCCGTGTCGGCCCATTGCTCGACCATTATATTGACCTCAATCGCCGATTGGGCCAAGTCCACTTCCTCTGGGAGATTCACCCAGATGCTGAGAGACGATTTTTTCGCGTGATATGGTATCCTTTATCACTACGGCCCGGATTTCTATACATTTTCATACATATATTCGCATGCTGCATGTATCCGCATTTATTCATTTACCCCCTTAATGATCTCGTCTCCGAGATCCTTGACCCTCCACGCTCGGAAATTCCCGTCGCGCAAGTTCGTCAATCACATTTTTAGGAGCAGATGCTCATACTCTGCGTCAGTTCCCAGCATTTTCTGGACGATTTTTTCGGCGAGATTCGCCACAAGTCTCCTCTTCTCGCGTAGGAGACACTTCCTACCGATGGGACCAACGACGATCCTCTCGCTCTTGAGGTCTTCGAGGATACTCTCTCCGACCAGGACAGTCATTGTGATGGGGTCTCTCCTGACCCCCTCAACTGGCATACCTTCGGCTTGGTCACCGATGTCATTCAGTGCCGCCTCGGTCTTTTTCTGTTTGTTTTCTCTCCGTCCGATCTCGACGGAGAGGGTTTGGACCACAGTCGCGTGGTGGGAAATCAGTTCGCTATTGGCAAGAACTTGTTTCCTGAGTTCTTCCTCTAGCGCGGAAATTCTCTGCCACAGCAGATTGTTATCCGCTACGACAGCGTTATGTTCTGTCGTTGCGCGTGCCATAAGATTATTCTGCCACACGCATGCCACACAATTCAGTTCGGCGGTACATTCCGCTTCTTGAAAGAGTGCTTCACATCCTTGGCAGAGTTTACGAGACATTATGGTAAAAAATTCGCTTACCGTCTCCTCCCTCGGTTTTTACGCAGTCAATCAGCAACAGTGACAAGGTCAATGACCCGACAGATCGATCACTATTGATTCTCATTGATCTATTAAGTCTCTGATACTAGGGTTACCCAGGGCAGTGTAGTGGCTCGGCCAGGGATCAGACCCGCTAGTGATTCACACGAACAATCTCATGCATAGTGCGCCCGCTTCCGGATCCCCATTTTGACTACTTCAGCGTCTTCACTTGATCATCTAGGATAGTGCGCCACGGGGCGGATTGCCATAAGGGCGAAATACCGAAATGCTCTTTGGGCGGAACGCCAATCCAGCGATATCGCCACGCACCTGTGATATCGTGAAATAAGTTGGACTCAGATTCTAATGAATTCGAATCAGGAGGCGAGTAATGTTTATGAGCCTTAAACCACCGGTCTCGACGCACTCGAGTGAGACTCCACTCGCATTTCTTCTGTGCTCCTTCTGTCATCCCCCCTATCCCCCTCCCCCCTATAGAATAAAAGCGTAAGCGCTTCGTTTGTGAGCCGTTTTTCGGCTCTTTCTCCCCGCCAACTTCGGCGCACATGTAGTTTTGCGGTTGCAGAATGATCCCCCGGTGTGCAAGTTGATGTTTTTTTCTTATCCAATGCCCCCCGCCCACTGATCGTCAAAAAACCCTCATACTTGCCCTCGGAACTCATGTGGTGCTATGTGGTACTTAGGTATGTACGCTGTGTCCGATTGTGGTACTATGTGGTACTATGTGGTACTTAGGTATGTACGCTGTGTCCGATTGTGGTTCGAAAGGCACAAACTCTTTGTTCGAATTTGGTCATCGCTGATGGGGACATATATGACTCGCTGATGGTGACATATATGACTCGCTGATGGTGACATATATGACATTTTCGCGACTCAATCCAATAAATATATTGACGGAGCGCTTGCGCTTCTATTTTAGAAGGTGGAGGGTGAATTTCCCGACTCAAATCCTCAGTCTCCGTACGTAGCATGAGCTCACAAATGATGCTGGAAGGCAAGCCGGAAAAACGGCCGGCTCCAGCCGGCCGGAGGCCGCCTGGTTTTATCATAATTAATTAGCTACGTACTGCCAACTTCGCCAGTCGAACGTTACTCCGATTCTTTTGTTTTCGCTCTTGTACACGTATTATATATACGCGAAGCTGAAGTTCAGTGTCAGTGGAACAAGTACAGGATGCGGCAGGCGGCAGCACGGATATTCCGATAACGAACGCTTGTAAAATCGGATCCAGATGAGATATCGAGTTTCTGCTTGTGTCAGGACATGCGTTTTCCCCTCCCATTTGGGCAATTGGTTTGGTCGCAATGGCTGGAACCTGCGAGAACCACCGTTGCAAAAACCACCGTTGCAAAAACCACCGGGATGCCCGTGCGCCTATTCATGATGACCTGAAAAAGATAGCGGAGCTCCCCAGGATCGATAATTTACGAGCCGAAGTTTAAGGACTGAATGTTTATTTAAAAATTTAGAGCCGATTTGATGTGGCTCCCTGAGCAAATGATATGATATTGATATGGCATTTAGGTCTTGTTGAACACGTGATCAAGCAAATGGCCCCCTCTCCCTTCGATGCAATTGGCGAGTCGATCGTGGAAGCCGACCATGACCCCATGGAGCATTTCGCTGGGTATCTCTTCGATTTCGGTCCTAATCGCTTGCTTCAACGCATCCAGGGCCCATAACCTGTTGTTATGTACGACTGAGTTCAGTTAGGAGCCGAAGGAGATACCAGCTTCGTTTTCTGCGGATGACTACAGACTATATTTATTCATCCACCAAAGGCTGCTTTTATAGACCACGACCATGCCTCTGCCAACAGTATTCGGGCAGCTCCGGTATACTCTGTCCTTCAGATGACCCCTCTGG